ATCATCCATCCTAATGGTGGGAGGGCAGAAAAGCCTGATGCTTACCCTACACTGGGCTTATAAGGGCGGTGCCACAGGGACGCCAGCAGAGTGAAATAGAACCACCAGAAGGAGAGAGAAGGAGAACCAGTGGCCATGAAGAACACCAGAGAGCCCAGAAAGAGTGAAGACTTGCTTGGGGGCTGGGAGGTCTGCCAGCCTCCTGGCCCTCCTGGCCCCCTGCCAGCATCCCTGACTGCCATGTACCTGGTAAACTCAATAAAAGCCTACAGGACTCCTCCTTCACCTGCCTGCTCCGGTCATAGAGATCCTGCTCCATCCCTTCCTGTCACTACACCATCACTCAGAAGAAATATGGAAAAAGGAAACCATTTACAACAGCAAGAAAGAATACCTACAAATACAAGGAACTTGCAAAACTTAGGTGAGAAAACCTAAATATTCCTAAAGACCCAAAGGTAACCTTGAATGACTATTAAGGCACCCATATTTTCAGACAGGTTGATAGCATCATAGCAAAGATGTCTAAAGCAGAAGGTATGAGAGGGTACAACATACTGAATTTCTTCTGGCCTGTTTTGAGCTGTAAGGGGGTTGTTCTCAAGATGTGATCCTTGGACCAACAGCATCAGCATCCTGTGAGTACTTAGAAAAGCAACTTAGAAATGCAAGTTCTCTTTAGCCTCACTCCATACCTACCAATTCAGACCCTGTGGGTGAGGCGCCACAACCTACCTTTTAACAAGCCCTCCTGATGGGTTGGACTTGAGCTCAAGTTTGGGAATCAGGGCTCTAGTGCTTCTCAAATTTACATTGCATAAAATCACTTAAGAGCTATTGAATGCAGACTTGCAAAGGTGAGTCTGGGAAGGAGCCTGATTCTGCATTTCTAGCAAGTTCCCTTATAATGCTAATGTGGCTAATCCTAAAATGTTTTGAGGAGCCAGATTAAAGAACAAGCTGTTTTTTTTTACTCAGTGCCCACCTGTCTACACTATCTACTCTATTTTTCCCAAGTATTAAAGACAAATCATTATTCTTCTTAGTAATGTTAATTTTCAACACAGCAGAGTGTTCCTTTCAAACACTTAACCAACAATAATTTCACATGAATCTCAGTCTTCGGAGGCCTCCACGCCTGTTTGTGTTGAACTGTCCTGCCATCTGTGCCATTTGTAGTGCAGGCAGGCAGGAGGGAAGAGTGGGCAAATGAGAGTCCTGGAGCCCTCAGTGGCTTTTTCAGGCTTTTAATGATCTTCCTACACCATATGTAGTGAGGTAACCAGGTGCAGGGCAGGCAGGGGGACTGGAGGCCAGGAGGCTAGCAGGCCTTCCAGTCCCCATCTAATCTCTGGTGTTCTCTGGTGTTCTCTGCTTCTCCCACTGGACTCCACCTCACTAGACTGTGTGATGTCGCCTTTAGCGCGTCTCTTGGCTCAGGTGCACCCACTTACGCACGCCCACACCATGCTCCAGGTGTCCACCATCGAGCATGCACACCCCAAGCCCACAATCCCAAGTGCCTCCTGTACTCAAGGCTGCAGTTGATAGCCATCGAGTCCATTGGCACAAAAGCCTGAGCAATCTTCATTTATCTTACAAGCATCTATTCAGTCACACCATTCAGCAATCAGTGCTAACTGGAATCTAGAGGGGAAAAATTATTAAGGAAATAGCAATGCAGAGGGAGAATCTTTGTATAAATCCAATGTTTAAATCCAATTTACCTTTATCTATCTTTAAAAATTCTCGTTTTTATGTACTAGTGTTCAGGTTATCTATTGCTTCATGGTACCACAAAACTTCTTGGCTTAAAACAATAAGTGTTTATTTAAGCACATGATTTTCCATATCATGATTTGGACAGGGCATTTTGGGGACCATTCTCATTTCTGTAGCCTCCAATGGGGTGACTAAAATGCCTGGATGGCTGTGATAGATTCGCTGGGACCATAGAGCTGGGGCCTTTGTACTGAGGCTGCAATGTCTTAAATGTCTTTTTTGCTCATATCTGAGAAGTAAGCTAGAGTGACTGGGCATCTCTCTTTTTCATTGTTATTCTCTACTGGGTGAACATGGCCTTCTTTAGACCTAAGGGTCTCAGGGTAATTGTGTTACCAGAACCTAGCCATCTTGGTGGTGGGAGCTGGCAGGAGCAGTGGTGTTGTCAACCTGCTGCTCCACCACAAGTTGGTTGTGGCAGTTGCTCCTCAGAGCTCAGTAACTGCCTTTTTTCCAGTTGTGGCAGTTGCGTCTCAGAGACCTTTTATGTAACATTGTACTTCCTGGATTGTGGAATGGACCAATCAGGCTGAGCTATGAGCTGACTGGTGCTAAATGGTCCAATCAGACTTTTGTTCCCAGGACCCAGTATTGGGAGTATGAAAAAATGTTATTCTAGATTTCCTCCATCACTAGTTGGTAAAATTCTTCAAGCCTGTTAACCAACAGTTTTTTCAGAAGTTACCTTGATTCATATATGTACTTCCCACCATTAGCCCTTGCTCCTCACAGACTTGTCATCCTTGGTCACATGACTCCTTTCACATCTAATCTTCCCATGCCATCCTCTGCTCCGTCACCACCCTTTTGGGGCTGATATGTCCTGAGTCCCTTCTAATTCAGGATCTTACCTTCTGCTGGTCCCATATAACAACTATCATTCTAGTATATTGATGATTACTAATATTTTAATTTCTTAATCACATGAAAGATATTTACTTTTGAAAAAGTGTTTTGGAAGAACTATCTTAATGCTGTGTTTCATAAATCATTTTTCCAGAGAAAACCAGTCCCTTCAGCTGGTCCAAATAGAATTTATAAAGTTTAAAACTTGCAAAAAGTTACAGGGCCAGTCAATTTCAAAGCTGAGTGTGAACCCAAACTTCTTGACAAATGCCACCTCCTTAACCATTGGGATGTTCAGTCTAGTATTTGGATACCTTGCTAAGAGATGTTTGTTCTATACCAAATTTTAGTAATTTTTTCCCTCTTTATTAGGTTGCTTTCAAGATGTACTTGGGAATTACACCAACTGTGACCTGTAACAATTCCAGCAGAAATGAATTTTCCCTGATTCTAGACAAGAACCCTCTGATAGAGTTTGTGGAAGAGCTCCCTGCTGGGCGATCTTCTCTGTGCTACTGCGATTTGCTCTGTAGGATTATCAGAGGTGGCCTGGAAATGGTAAAGCACTTATTTCATTCTGCCTGTGTATTCATACTTTGTTTACCTCATAATATAGCAGCTTAAAACAACAGTACATATCCTAAACTGGGAACAAAATGAACATAAGTAATTTATCCAATCAACTAATACAGAACATATTTTAACATACAGATTCATTTGTGCTTCTATTGCAATATTAATTATATATGATTGGTGTTAAAAATTTGATTAAAGGAGATGGGATGAATCTGATAAACACTGAAAAAGAGAAGTTTCAAAATTTAAAATTATTTGTGGATAGTCTGCATTGGTAGCCTGCAATAAAAGGGAAAAAAGAAATCATTCTACCTGGTTTGTATATGTCTTGGGTTTTCTTTTCTGTGTATTTTTTCATTATCTACACTATAAAATTTAGGAACAATCAAATTGACATTAAAATTATTTTGTTTCTATAGTTAACTAATTTTTTTTCATTTAGAATCAATGTGGATTGTTGAAATAAAATAAAGAATGCATGTGTAAACACATGTATCTGTTTAGTAGTTGACAAGATCACAAGTTTGCATTAAAGATCAAAGGAACAAAACAAAATCATTTAGCTAGGTCATTACCTTAACTATCTGCATGAAAAAAAGATTTATCCATACCATTACTTTTAAACTAATTCTAAGTGATACTTAATAATAAAATAACTAACTAAAATCATTTTCTAAACCTGAAAAAATAAGCAAATCTCTTTGAAAATTCTAAAATGGAGAAAAACGTTTTTTTTTAACAAACCTGTTAGTTTTATTTTTCTGTATAGTCTTTTTTTAGTTTAACATTTATCATTTTTTAAAATTTTTAAACAATGTTTGCTTCCCCCCCACCCCCTCAGATTGAGTCCCCATAGAATTTCCTTCCCCAAGGCACCCGTGCACCATCACCACAGTCTCCTGTGCTCTTCCCTCCCTCCCTCTCCCTCCTCCTACCCTGCAGTATGTCTCTGGTTTATAATTGCCTGTTTTTGCTTTGCTGTGTTTTGTACTGTTATTATTTTTTTAACACTGATGTCTTATTTGGTTCCCCTATATTCCTGCTATAAGTGAAACCATCTGATATTTTTCTTTTTCCTTCTGGCTTATTTCACTGAGCATAATTCCTTCTAGCTCCATCCATGTTGCTGAGAATGGCATGAGTTTATCTTTTTGATTGCTGAATAATACTCCATTGTGTATAAATACCACATCTTCTTAATCCAGTCATCTATTTTTGGGGATTTGGGTTGTTTCCAGTTTTTACCTATTGTAAATAGTGCTGCAATAAACATAGGTGTACAGGTGCTCTTTTGAATCAATGTTTTTGTGTCCTTTGGGTAGATCCCTAGTAGTGGAATTGCCGGATTGCATGGTAGCTCCTAAAATGGAGAAAAACTTCTTAAGCATAAGTGCAACAGAGAACTTTTATGGACATATTCTATGAATCTCAGAAACAATACTCTGGGGAAAATGGCAAATCTTACTGTATGACATCACATTCAATTCAAAAACAGGTAAAATTAATCTATGACTTTAGAAAGAGAGTGGTTACGTGGAGGGGGGATAACGCAGCAATTTCTTTGTTAAAGTGAAGCATACTGCCATATGGTTGTTTCATTTGAAGATATATAAATGCTTCTGTCTTTACTGGCCTCTGTCTGAATGTGATTTGCATTCACTTTACCCCTCCTACACTAAGATTTTGTGGGTTTTTTTTTCAGTTTGTTCAGTATTTCTGTTTATTTCAACTGTTTATTTTTTTCTATTAGGTGCCCCCAAATTAAGAGAGTATGAATTGGAAACTTGTGGAAGAATAACTGGGAAGTTTGTGAAAACGGAAGTAAAGTATAAAAAAATAATGTTTCTCCCTACTCAAAACCTTCATGTTCCCCCACTACCATCCTTGTGCTCTTAAAATTTCTGAAACAATTTGCAATTTTTTTTAAAGATTTATTTATTAATTTATACAAGCACTGGGTATAGTCAGAAGTGAGGGAGGGTGAGATAATTCACCAGAACCAGAGCAGAGAGCAGAACAGGCAGACTGATGAAATACACTGCTGAGGGGAGCAGCAGGCAGCAGGAGAGGTCTGCACCATGTGGGATCCTCGCCATGTGGCCGGGGATCGAACCGGCGCTGCAGAGGCTGCGGGCAGCTTCCCAGCCCAGCGCTCAACCACTGTGCCACCAGGGGAGGCCCCTTTTTATTTTTTTTAATCAGAATTAGGGAGACTGGAATCCTTAAATGACAGAGAGTAGAATGAAAGTTTCTACAAGATTTTCCTAGGGTAGGTATTTTCCCTCATGGTCATCTGAAATATAACTGTATGATAGAATTCTAAATTCAGCAAAAAAAATTCCTCAGAAACCACTTTCAGAAGAAAATATAGCTAATTAAATACTTTAGTCATTGACTATCATTACTGAGAAACCCCAGTAATTAATAAATATTAATGTAGTTCTTTTACATCATTTGCCATATGTGGTTTGTGAACAAAAGATCATTCCTCTGATTGTTTTGGAATATTGTTATGGAATATTTTGCTTTTTAGTTTCAGTTATTTTTTAGTTATTGGGCCAGACTGGAGGACGTGACAGGATCAACTGTAGTCTTGAAATCGAAGGCTTATCAATCTGTAAAAGCTACTTATTGTCTTTTAATTGAGGTAGCATTGTTTTACAGTGCTGCATGTGATTTTAGGCCATTTTGAGTTAATTTTTATGTATGGTAGAGAGGCGAGTGACTGATTTTAGCAACACTAACTATTGAACAGATTTTCCTTCCTCTAGTATACACTTGGCTCTTATGTCTTAAATTTAATTCCACAAAAACGTGGGCTTATTTCTGGCTCTCAATTCTATTCCATTGTTTTATATGTTTATCTTTTTTTTTTTTTTTTTTATAGAGGCATGTTTTCTTTCTTTCTTTATTTATTTGTTTGTTTTTGTTTATATATGCACTGGGTACAGTCAGAAGCGCGTGAGGGTGAGAGAATTCACCAGAGCCAGAGCGGGGAGCAGAGCAGGCAGAAGGACCGAGGTACACTGCTGAGGGGAGCAGCGGGCGGCAGGAGAGGTCCGCGCGCCATGTGGGACCCTCCTCTGGTGGCCGGGGAGCAGCCGGGGATTGAACCGGCGCCGCAGAGGCCGCGGGCAGCTTCGCAACCCAGCACTCAACCGCTGCGCCACCGGGGAGGCCCTATATGTTTATCTTTTAATCCACTACCACAATGTTTAGAGTCCTATAGCTTCTAGTTTGATTAAACTTTGGGATTGTGAAACTTCTTTTCCTCTACTTTTTTGTCAAGATTGCCTCCCTGGTGGAGCAAGGGGTTAAGACACAACCTATGAAGCTATTGGCAAACACCACAGTGCTAGTTCGATCCCCGGCCAGGGAGCAACCCACATGGCACAGCAGACCTCTCCTGACTCGCCCGCTGCTCCCCTCAGCATTGTATTTCAGTCAGTCTGTCTGTTCTGTTCCCTATTCTGTCTCTGGTGAATCCTATCACCCCCCTACACCTCTGGCCTGTACCCCAGCTCTTGTATGCATAAATAAATCTTTTTTTAAAAAAAAAAAGACTTAGTGTCTTAGTCTCTTACTTACCCATTTGTCATTCTGTATAAATTTTAGTATTATTTGCTCTAATCCTTAAAGAATTCCATTGAAATTTTGATTAACAATTTCATTGTATCTCTATGTTACTTTGAGTAAGATGAACATTTTAGCAATATTATTTCCTCCAATATGAGTGTGAAATATCTTTCTACTTCCTTATTCTCCTTCTGGATTCTTTTTAGCAATATCTTATAATTGTCACTGAATAGATCTCTCCTGTACTTTGTTAGTTTATTCCTAGACATTTAATACTTTTTGATGTTACCATTGGCAGTTTTCTTGATCTCTTTCTCCTCTTTTATTTTGTTGTTTGTACATAGAAACACAAAAGACACTATATATTGATTTTGAGCCTGTCACTTTAGTGATTGATGGTTACCAAGTTTTGTTTTGTTTTTACCAGAGTCATGGGAGCTGTTGTGCATATGATCCCATCCTCTGTAAAGAGTGATAGGTTTACTTTTTCCTCTTTCAATTTGTATTCATTTTATACCTTTCTCTTGCTTTATTGCTCCCTTGAGATCTGTCAAAGTTGTTGCCAGTTTTAAAGATTTTATTCTTTCTAATGGCTGAACAATATTCCATTGTGTGCATATATCATATTATTTCACCCATTCATCTTATAAGAAAAACATTTTGTGCAAATGAAAAACACAATGAGATACCACCTCATGCTGGTGAGAATGGCTCATATCAAAAAAAGCCAGAAACAACAGATGCTAATGAGGATGTGCTGAAAAAAGGAACTTACACTGCTAGTGGGAATGCAAGGTGGTCCTGACAGTATGGAAAGCTGTGTGGAGGTTCCTCAAAACACTAAAAATTTGATCTACTATATGATCTAATGATTCCACTACTAGGAATCTACCTAAAGACACAAAATACACTAATTTGAAAAAGGAAAGCTGCAAGCCTACTTTTGTTGCAGCAGTATTTACAATAGCCAACTTACAGAAACCACCTAAATGCCCCCAAATAGAATTCTTGGTGTATATACACATTGGAATACTACTCAGCAATCAAAAGAGATAAACTCATGCCATTTGCAGCAACACGGATGGAGCTGAAAGGATTATGCCAAGATGAATAAGTCAGAAGGCAAAAGATAAATATCAGATGGTTTCATTTATATGTGGAATATAGAAAAAACAAACAAAGTGTCAGGAAAAAGACAAAACTTGCAAACTGACCATATATCTGACATATAGCTGGGGAGGGGGATGCAGAGGTCTCAAAACAGGGGAGGGAAGACACATGGGACTGTGGTGATGGATCACAGGTGCTGTGGCGGTGGGGAAACTACAGGGACTAAACCTACAAGGAAAAAAGGAAAGCATTTCATGTAGCTTCAATAATAAAGCAAGAGACAGTTTATTTAAGAGAGATAGTAGAATACACAAGGTAGCGGGCAGTCTCAGAAAGCATGAGAGTTGTTATGAGACCTCAAAGCAGGAGGGACTTTTTGATTTCCTTTTTTTTCCTCCAGGTGGGAAACTTACACTCCCCTTTCTTCCATTATTCCAGATTCCTGGAATTTGAACTTCCCAACCCTTTATCTTTTTGTGTCAGGGTGAGAATGCTCATTGGTGTGAGTGGGTTTTAACATCAAAAATATGAGATTTGAGGGCCTCCCTTGTGGCATAGGCAATTAAGCACAGTGCAGTGAAGCGATCTAGAGACTCTGCAGTGCGATCCCAGCCAGCCAGGGAGATACATGCATGGCACGGCAGACTTCCCCTGTCGCACCTGCTGCTCCCCTCAGCAGCGTATTTCAGTCAGTCTGCCCCTTCTGTTCCCCACTCTGTCTCTGGTGAATCCTCTCACCCTCCTGCATGTCTGGTTCCTCTTGTATCCTGGTTCCTGTGTAAATAAATAAATCTTAAAAAAAAAAAAAACCCACGAGATTTGTGTGCAGTTAGACATGTTGAAAGAACTCATTTAAAAGGTAACTATGCACAACCATAGTACTATTGTTAGACATATGTATTGTTTCCAGGCCTTCTGGACCTGTCTGATCTTATCTGGTCCTTGAAATGTGGTGATAAATTAAATCCAGCAAGAATATCAGAAAGCAAATGGTGACTATCTGCCTCAGGGAAATGAAGAGATCTCTTTTATCTCTAACAAAGCAATCTAGAGAAAGGAAAATGCTGAAGATATCATACTTCCAGATTTCAAGCTTTATTACAGTGTGTAGTAATCAAATAGTATGGGTCTGCACTTCCATATTTTTTGGTGAGCTGAGTCAAAATGGAGCCAATTTTACACATGTGGGAAGGAAATTCTCTCATAATGCTGTGGGCAAACTTAGCAGCCACATGCAAAAAATAAAGCCCCAAAGAACAGACACCATTCCCCGAGACAGGTCTAAAAGATTTTACGACCCATGCTTTATATCCAAGGAAGTGGTTGTTACAACCTTCGAATACAGTGTTTGTAGGAGAGGTGCCAAAGTTAAGTAATAAGCCTACATTTACTGAGAACCTGTAGTTCTCTTATCCCCAAGACTATTGACCTTTTGGGGTAATCTGATCTCTTTCTCCTAGTAACAACAAAATCTTACCCAATGTATTTGTCCAAAAAGGGCTGCTTGCTGAGTCCCTGAAACACCCCTCATTGCCTAGACTAACTCTGTAGAGAGTATTTATTTGAGTAGCACATCAATTCCTATCATTCCTAAAATTATAGCAGAAGTGAATTTTCTTCATCTGTGGATCTGCAACAGTGAGTAGTGGAAGGGCAGCCTCACACCTCTCCTGTCTCACCCTCTCTTCAGCATGCAGAGGAAGTTTAAATTTTCTTTTCAAGTTTCTGTTTTTCTTCCTTTTCTTGAACATCTGTGCAAGACTAAAAGAGAAACACATGATGTCTTTTCTTTCTATTCATCACTTTCTTTACTATTGATCAATGAGATGCAAGAAATAGAAGACGTGTCAAAGCCAAGATGCTTCATGAATCCACCTCACCCCCTACACTTGTCTCTTGTCTTGTGGCACAGCAGCTCTCATAATTCTCTCTCCTGTGACTGGGTGTAATAGACAAATAGCAAGAAAGAGGTGATATTCAGTGTTTGTGGGGACTGTCCTTTCTTTTCTCAGGATTCAGATTTTCTAGACTTGGTGTTTTTCGGGAGTGTGGGTAAAAATGTGTGGGTGGGTGACAGGAATTGATGATAGTGACACTTTCATTTTGGCTTTTCATTCAACTTTATTTCCTATTATAGAAAGCTCCATTTGTCAATGTTACACAGTGTAAATTTATTTCAGCGTGTCCCAAAGATGAGTTCTCATTTATTTTCTTTCCTGGAGAATTTGTGACTCTGTTATCAAAACAGCTCTCCATCTATGTCTCTATACCAGTCTTTGTTATTTCTCAGCCAGTCTGTTCCATGCTCAATGCTCAAAAAATGAAGCTGCTTGAAATTCATTGTTTGGTGAGGAAACCTCTAGTAGGATAGTGGGACTTTAATTGCATGTCTTAATTGGGAGCCAAATTACATCCCACACTGGCTTCTCAGGTGTTGAGAAAATCTCTCTGGAAACCAAAGCATTGTTTATTACTATTTTCCTCCTGATTTTCTTAGATGAACAGTGAGATATCTGACACACAATTTCGAGGCCACATTCCTCAGAAAGTCAGATTCTTAGTGGATCATGAGGCTTAATGTATACCCAGAAAACTAGGTGATTCTGATACCAGTGATTTTCCTGCTCTTAAGCATAACTCCACACTCTCCCTCTATTGATGAGGTGAGTTCAAGCATAAAGGTATTAAATGTTTCTTGAGTACACAGCAATATCTTAAGAATTCTTAACTGAAACACATGCTAGTTCTAACCTAATGACTTCTGGGACTCACTCATGGATTACACTTTCAGGAGTAGAGTCCTTAGTAGAGCTAACAAATTTTTCTTGGTCAATTGTTTTGAACTGGCCTATTTGGGACTTTTTGCTTCTAATTTTATTTCAACTTTCTATTGGGATGTTTTTCGGATTTCTGATTTAAAAAGCTTGAACAATTTGCTGAAATTCCGTTTCTTACCTTCCTCATCTGCATGTTTTGGATCATGATAAAACCTCACTCATGGGATTTTACAAAAATCATCTTTATTTCCTGGTATCTTAGTTTCCTAATGTATAGAATACTGATAACAACAATACCTCTAGCATATTGGGTTTTGAAGATTAAATGACTTAATAGGAACCAGGGGTTTAGTTTGGGAAATGAGTTGACAGGTCAGTGGTGCTTGGCATGTGTTGAACACTCAGCGAGTGCTAGTCCTTATTATAAATCACCAAGTATCTGAAAAATGTTTTATCTGTTATTTTCTTGTAGGCATATCATTATGGACGGCACATATAAGTATCTCTTTAAATTTAAAGGTTTTTATTTTTCAACATCTTTTCTTGATCATGAACTACTAGAAAACCTAGATGATTTTGAAGTCAGAGATGACGATGTCTTCATAGTTACATATCCAAAGTCTGGTGAGTTTGGGGAGTGGGGAGCCTTTGTTATTTCCCTTCATTCTGGTTTGGGAATAGATGTGTGCAAAAGGCATTCTCCAGACATTGTAATGTTACATTCATGTAATTGGTGCATTCAGTATTGTGTGGGAAGACCTAGATTACAATATGAGAAAAATAGAGAGTGAAGGGATTTTGAGCTCTTTAATTTATATTTTGAAAAGATAAAGCTCTTGGGAAAGAGATTAGGTACAGAGAAACACAGGAAATCACAGAACAGTATAAATAGGAAGATTGCACAAAATACATGCATGAGAGAGGGAACTAAAAAATTAATGTGAATCACTATTATAGAATCTGAACAACAACATCTTTTCTAATAGATAGAGGAGTTAGGAGATCTTTTTCTTTTTTTAAAGATTTATTCATTTATTTATATAAGAACCAGGGTATAGGCCAGATGCGCAGGAGGGTAAGAGGATGCACCAGAGACAGAGTGGGGAGCAGAACAGGCAGATGGATGAAATACGCTGCTGAGGGGAGCAGTGGGTGAGTCAGGAGAGGTCTGCTGTGCCAGGTGGGCTGCTCCTTGGCCAGGCGGGGATCAAACTCGTACTGCAGTGGCTGTGGACAGCTTCATAGGTTGCTCCTTAAACCCTTGCCCCACCAGGAAGGCCTGGAGCTAGGAGATCTAATGAATAATCCAAATATTTTTGAGAAGAGTAACATTACTATGGGCATGAATCATTTAAAATTAGTTCAGGGTTCACATAAGATTATTTTTCCTAATAGGTACCCGCTGGACTCAGCAAATACTAAGCTTGATTTATTTTGAGAACCATCGTAATAGAACTGAAAGTATAAATGTAAATATCAGAGCCCCCTACATTGAATACAATTTACAGAAGACTGACTTTTCCAAAAGACCCTCCCCTAGGATCTTTTGTACCCACTTGCCTTATCACTTAGTGCCAAAAGGTCTCAAGAACAAAAAAGCTAAAGTAAGTATCAAAATGACTCACAAAAATATCTTCTTCAATAGTCTCCATCTGTGCTCATGAAAAGTCTTTTAAATGTGATTATTATATTTATATGACATTGTGTTCTTTTCAAAAATATGCAATTATAAGTAGAGACATAAATTGGATCACCACACACATTGTTTGCAGTGTAATGATAAAATATCTAAGGACAAATTCTTTAACGTCAGCTCAAAAAACCCTATCTTTTCAATGGCTTACTAAGAATTTCTTCTATAATCATAGGTATTTCAGGCATTTTCTAGATAGGCAGTTTGCAGCGAATGTATATGTGACATGACAGTAAGCATTGTTACATGTCTCTGTACATGTTTCTTCTGGTGACAATGTTTCCCTGAAAGCAGAGTTTTCAGGTAAGTATTCAAATTCTTAAGTGATTTTCATTATTACCTATATGTATTGTATGATCAACTTACACTTCATCAAACAGCATATCAAGATGCATTTATTCTCCTAATCAACACCAATGACTGGATTTTTTCTTTGTTGCCTTGATAGGTAAAAGAAAATCTCTTTCTTGAGTAATTTGCAGCCATTCTGATTTTAATTAGTTTGTCCATCATTTTGCATATTTCTTCGCCTTTGAATATCTTTTATATCCGTTGTACATTTTTCCCTGGCTTTTCCTTACAGATTTTGAAAAAAATTATACAAGGCAAATATTGTCTCATTTAATATTTACCTGAATATTTACCTTAATATTTACATTTAATTTATAAGTTGTGTTACTTCTGTTAATGTAAAAGCGTCAATCCTGCATATAATTTAGAGGTAGATATTTACACTTAAGGTATAACCACACCACACCCACCACCAAAGCACTCATAATCCTCCAGCAGAGTCTATTGTGCCTCCTCCTGCTTTTCATTTCATTCCTTTTCATTTTAATGAAATCCATTTATACTCATTTATTTATACTTATAATTCCAAACCCTTAAAGCTAGTCTATTATCTTTCCTTCATTGCTTGTAACTCTGTGTCTTGCTGTAAAAGATTTTTTCACCACTAAGATTACGCTAATATTCTCCAGTTTTTTTCTAGATACTTTATATATTTGCTTTTTTTATATGAAATTACAAATTCTGTCTGACTGCATGTAATGTGAAATATGTCTGTTACATGATATTTGTCAGGGTAATTAGCTAATTGATATAATATTTTTTGTTTAAGCATTTACCTTCATTACTCTTTTGAAGTCTTTTTGTTATACTGAGTTTCCAATGTCCCTCCCTCTGATTTTGCATTTTATTTTCCTTTTTCCCCTTTATCAAACCACCAGTGCCCATGTCCCATGTGCCTCCCTCCTACCTCCTCCACCCTTTCCCCTATCCCATGGTAACCATTATTTTTGTTTTGCTGAATTCGAATTTTTTATTTTGTGTGTGTGTATCTTTTTCTGATGTTTACATTCCTCATAGTGAACCATTCAAAATCTGCCTTTTACTTTTTCCTTGATTTTACTTGGTTTTATTTTTTATCCAAATATTGATAGATCTGTTTAATACATGGCAATTATTTTCTTGTTGGAAATATTATATCAGGTAAGATAGAGCGTTATTAATTTTACATTTTAATGTGTTATTTCTTCCAATTTTTTTAATGTTTTTTGGAATTGTTGTGTGTGTGTGTTTAATTCTGGGACAACCATTTGTATTGCAATATTAGCATCCAACCTCATTCTGTAATTGTGTTTATGTCTCCTTGGATGTTCACCAAATATGCTATGTTGTCCTTTGTATGTATATTACCTTCTTTTTCTGCATTTCAGTATTTTTATTTTTTATAGCTGTTAACATTAGAAACAGTTTAAATTTTTTTTTATCTTGTCCATTTAGTTATTGCTGTATTCCCTACTTTTTTTTTTAATGAGATGTATTAATTTTCCCTTTATGTTCTATCCAGGATGCACTTCACTTTAAAACAATAATGCATTTTATTTTCCACTACTTTCCAATGTATGCATTTGGTTTTTTCTAATGCAGTAATTAAAATTTGAAGAAAACCACAAAAATAATACTGATGAAAAATTGTCTCTTGTCTTTGACCTCTAGTACTTTTAGGATATTTACTTTTTTTTTTTTTTCATTTTTGTTTTCTTTCCATTTGATTTGGGGGCCACAGAATGAAGAGAAATATTTTTCTGTTCATTTACTTGACATATTACTTTTTTTTTTAATTTAGAAAGCTCTAATATCATGAGATTCCAATTTTGCAACCAGGTACATGATATGTCCTCATCCCCCATATATAATGAAATAAAAATCACAATTAACTTAATAATATCCTATTTCTGGCATAAATACTACTGGATTATAATATAATATTTGTTTGGATATAGTGCCAGAAGAGTTATGATATTTGCTCCATTTTTTTTTAATTTATTTATTTTTATGCATGCAAGAGCTGGGGCACAGGCCAGAGATGGGGGTGGTGAGAGGATTTACCAGAGACAGAGTGGGAAACAGAACAGGCAGACTGATGAAATGCAATGCTGAGGGGAGCAATGGGCGAGATAGGAGAGGTCTGTCGCACCATGTTGGTATCTCCTTGGCCAGCCAGGATCGAACACATGCTGTAGAGGCTGCGGACAGCTTCACAGCGCTGCACTAAACCTGCTGCGCCATCAGGGAGGCCCTGGGTGATGAGTCTTTAAAGATGTTAGTGAGATGTATGTCTTGTAGTGTTTTACCTATATTTATATATTTTATGGTTTCAGTCTTGTGTCCAGTTTCTTTATCCATTTTGAGTTAACTTTTGTGCATGGTGAGAGGTGGTGGTCTAGTTTTCCCAGCACCATTTATGGAACAAACTGTCAAAGTTCCATTGCATATTCTTTGCTCCTTTGTCAAAGATTACTTGTCCATATAAGTGTGGCTTTATTTCTGGGCTCTCTATTTGGTTCCATTGGTCTGTGTGTCTATTTTTGTTCCAATACCATATTGTTTTAATTATTATGGCTTTGTAGTATAGCATGAAGTTTGGAAGTGTGATACCTCCTTTCTCCTTTGTTTTCATCAGTAGAACTTTGGCTATTCGCTGTTTTTTTGTGGCTCCATATGAATTTCATCAGTATTTGTTCTATTTCTTTGAATAATGTCATTGAGATTTTTATTGGAATAGCATTGAATCTGTAAAATTGCTTTGGGTAGGATGACCATTTTAATAATGTTAATTCGTCCAATCCATGAGCAAGGGATGTCTTTCCATTTCTTTGTGTCTTCTTCCATTTCTTTTAACAGTGTTTTATAATTTTCTTCCTATAGGACCTTCACCTCTTTTGTTAGGTTTATTCCCAAGTATTTGATTTTTTTTGTTTGTTTCAATTATAAAAGGGATAGTTTTCTTGATATCTTCTTCTTCAGATAGATGGACTGGGTGTAGGAAGTCTACTGATATTTGTGTGTTGATTTTGTATCCCGCTACTTTCCTGAACTGGCTGATTATTTTGAGTAGTTTTTCTGCGGAGTTTTTAGGGTTCTCTATGTATATTATCATATCGTCTGCAAATAGTGATAATTTTACTTCTTCTTTCCCTATTTGGATTCCTTGTATGCCTTTCTCTTGTCTTATTGCTTTGGCTAGGACCCCCAGTATTATATTGAAGAGCAGTGGTGAGAGAGGACATCCTTGTTTTGTTCCTGATCTTTCTTCAGCATTTCTCTTTTGAGAATAATATTGGCAGTGGGTTTGTAATATATGGGTTTTATCATGTTAAGGTATGTTCCTTTTATCCTGAGAATTACAAGGGCCTTCATCATATATGGATGGTGGACTTTGTCAAATGCTTTCTCAGCATCTATTGATATGATCATATGGTTTTTATTTTTCTTTTTGTTAATGTGCTGGATTATGCTGCACCTCCCCCTGTGCTGGTCCGCGGCAAGATTACAGTGATCAGTTTTATTATGTTGAAACATCCTTGTGCCCCTGGCATGAATCACACTTGATCATGGTGTATTATCCCTTTGATGCATTGTTAGATTTTGTTGAGGATTTTTGCATCAGTGTTCATTAGGGAGATTGGCCTGTAATTTTCTTTTTTTGTGTTCTCTTTGTTTGGGTTTGGTATTAGTGTAATGTTAGCTTTGTAGAACATATTTGGTAGTATTCCTTCTTTTTCAATTTTTTTAAAGAGTTTGTATAGGATAGGCACTAATTCATTGCTGAATGTTTAGTAGAATTCATTTATCAAGCCCTCTGGGCCTGGGCTTTTTTTTGGGGGGGGGTGTTTTAATTACTGCTTCAATTTTGCTGCTTGTAATTGACTTGTTTAGGTGCTCTATTTCTTCTTTATCCAGCTTTGGATGATTATATCATTCTAGGAATTTGGCCATCTCTTCTAGATTGTTGAATTTGTTTGCATGTAAGTGTTCAAGTAATATCTGATTTTTCTTTGATTTCTACTGAGTCTGTTGTGATTTCTCTTCTTTCATTTATGATCCTATTTATATGTGCTTTCTCCCATTTTTATTTTGTGAGCCTGGCTAGAAGTTTGTCTATTTTGTTTATTTTTTCAAAGAAGCAACCTTTGGTTTCATTGATCTTTTGGATTTTGTTTAAATTTCCATTTAGTTTATCTCTGCTTTGATTTTTATTTCCTTTCTTCTACTGGCTTGAGGGCTTTTTGTTGTTCTTTTTCTAGCTCTTTGAGATGTGAGATTAGGTTGTTTCTTTCAGTTCTTTCTTGATGTGCGCCTATTTTGCTATATATTTTGCTCTGTTTTCATTGCTTTCCCAGAGTTCTTTATCTCCTCCAGCAATCTTTTAATCTCCTGCATTTCTTTTCTTTCCTTTCTTAAGGTCTCAATTTCATTCTTAAGTTCAATGTCTAAAATCATTTTTTTCATTTTCACTTTCTTTCTCCTTTTTAATCATGATGGTCATTAATTCTCTGACAGGCCGAGAAGTTCTTCCATGTCAGTGTTGAGCTCTGGTGATTGTTTTCCTTTTTGTCCTGTGTTTTTCCCCTGCGGGCTTGCTTGGTTATTTATATTTTTCCTTGTCCCCGCTCTTTGTTTTCTTATTAGTTCTATGTGTTTGGACATTGTGCCACTGGTGTTGGTGGGCATCTCTTTGGAGAGCTCCTTCAGGGGTGTCGGAAACTGTTTACCAGACCCACTCCAGCACTGTTATGCCAAATCTCTGTTATGCTGTGGCTATGTTGCTGGGCACTGTCTCTTACAGTTCCCTCCCTCTGGATTTCCTCAGTTCCAGCAGGGAATCCGCTAGGTGGTAATTTCGTTCTGGTCACTAGGAGGCGCCAGAGACCTGTACTTGCTGGCCTTGGCTTTTTTCCCCCAATAGTTCTCTGAGAAAGGGAGAGGGGAGGGGAGCACCTCAACACAGGCGCTATTGCTCATGCTGGGTCTGTGTCCCTCCCAAGTTCACCCGGTGCTGAGCCCGCAGCTGTGATCCCGCACCCTGGATTCTGCGCTCTAGTTCTCAATTTCGGGGCTCTCAGATGCACAACACTGGCTGTCACCCTGTGCGGTGCCCACTCTTAGGGTGCGTCCCAGGCCCCTGATGCGGTGCCCGGCTCTCAGCTCCAGAATGGGGTCTTGCTCAGCGCCTTTTCCCAGTGTCACCCCCATTTGCGTGGCCCACCCCCTCTGATAGCCTGAGGGTGGTTTTGGAATCCCTGGCTTCCAGTAATCAGGAAATTGGTGATTTTGTTCTGATCACCAGGGACCAGAGCTCTTTCCTAATATCCTTCTAGAACCGTGCTTCTCCCCGTGGGTCTCCAGGGAACAGAGTGGCATGCTGTGCCCCAGTGGCATGGGAGTGCGGTGTCTGCCCTGTGCCCCAGCATCGTGGGGCTCCCACGCCCTGAATTTCGTGCCCCGTTTCTCAGTTCTGAAGCCCTCAGAGCCAGGCCGTGGCGGTAGCCCCGTTCAGTGCCCACAGAAATGGCGCCTTTTGCACCCCGCTCCCTTCCCGGGTGCCTGGTTTGATCACCCAGGGAGGGTCACTCGCCTCAGTGACTGCTCCCCGCATGTCTCCCTGTAGGGGCAGATGGCACAGAGCAGGATTTCTATGATGGAGCAGACGGGGTAAAGGGGAGTCCAGAGCCCTGGTGGCTTTCTCAGGCTTTCTTGAGCTTTTACGTGCAGTGCAGCAACCAGGCAGGCGCACGGCGCAGGGGTGTGGGGCGGGCCCGAGGCCAGCAGGCCGCCCAGCCCCTGCCAGTCTCCGCTCTGGGCTCCCCTGGGTTCTCTCTGCCCTCGTCTCTCCCGCGTCTCTCCTGCCTCTGCTTCTCTGGCCAGTATCTCAACGCCGCGGTCCTGGCCGCAGAGTAGCCAGCTCAGCTACAAGGACGTCACAACATGCAGGCGCCCCGTCAGGCAGGGCAATCTAATGGGGCAGAAAAGCCTGAAAACCCTTTACGCGAAGCTCCCCTCGATCCTGGTCACCGGGGCGGGGACCTGGGCAGCCTCCCTCGCGAGGGCTTTTCTAGGTGGCCCTGGGCTGTTTGCGGGTCTCCCCCGGCCCCAGGCCTCATCTCCCCGCAATGCCCCAGAGCCCTTCGCTCACCTCCGTGGGTTCCCGTCGCGGGGTGCGGTGCCCGCAGCCGTTCCTTTCCCCTCGCTGTCCCGCTGGAGCTCCGGTTTCTGCTTGTGTTTTGTATTTGTTTTTATTGTTATTTTTTCCTCCTTTCTGTCGTCAGGGCGCCGGCTTTGGGGTCCGGGAAGACAGCAGGTTCTGAGCTTTCCTCTTTTCGTCCTCTCCTGTCGCCACTTTCCTCTTCGGGCAGGTTGCCCTCCTCGCCCCATCCTCTTGCGGGTCCGGCTCTCAGGGACCTGCCGCTTTTCCGCCCTGTTACCTGTTTTTACAGGAGAACTTTCTGCAGCGTTTCTTCGCCGCCACGTTGCTCCTGATGCCTTTGTTGGTTGTCTTTTAATAATTTCTCCTGTCAGACTTTAATTTTTATCAATCTGGTCATTAGAGAATGATATCTCAAACTGATCTTAATTTATGTTCTCTAGTAATTAATGAGATTAAGCAATTGTTGATACTTTTTTGCCAATAATTATTTTTTATTCATTGAAATATTGTACCTTTGCATAAATTCTTATTGGATTTATTTATGATTAGTTTCATGTGTATTTGGGTCATTAATTATTGGTCATAGGTGCTCCTTCTGTAAAATTTGTTGTTTCTCTGTAACCTTATGGTTTATTTCCATTAGGAACATCCTTTTTAATTGAATGTAACCCTATTGATCAACTATTATTTTATATAAATTCTTATTTACATATTTCTTCACAAAAATATGACTGAAAATATATCCTTTGAATTTTTTAAATCAAGGTGTACCTTTCATATTTAAATCCTCTTGTTAATTATTTGTATGTATGGTGTGAGGTAGAAATACATTTTCAGTTTTCTTCTATGTGGACAATTATCTCTTCCAATATCAGGTGTGAGTGGTTTTTCCCTTATTTATTAATCCCTTTGCCTCGTTGACTGTTTCTATAATATCACTGAATGCCTACGTATGGTAAATTGGAACTGTCTATATGAAAGATAATGTTCAATAGTCAATAGCCTTACAAATAAATTTTTAAGTACTAGGAATTTGAACACTATGCTCGCTTTTGTGAATTATCATGTGAATATATTTTTTTGTTACAACAGTCTTAGTACTGGCAAAAATTTGAGAACCACTAAAATTTCCATGAGTAATAGACTGCATAGAGTAGATTGTGAATAGTTATATAAGTTATCATACATTCATATAATACAATATCATTATGTGTTTAAAAAAAAAAACCTGACTGTGTAATCAATAATTACTGAAATAACTTTGCTTTTTTCTGTAGATTATTTACATTTACAGAAACCCCAAAGATATTTTGATCTCATATTATCATTTTTCAAATTGGGTGACTGCATTTGAACCCTCAGAAAACATAGAGTGCTTCATGGAAAAATTCCTTAATGGAAAAGGTAACTGAATTTAGTCAGTCAGCAACATGTTTATGAGACAATGGAACCATTTAGTTACATTCTCTAATTAGGAAACATATCTCAGACACTGGAGAAGGAATGATAAAAGGCAGAATGCATATGATATTACTGCTTGTCATGTCATGTATCACCCATTGCTCTTATGATTTTCACCAGGTCCACTTTGCAATGTCAAGGTTACAAAGACATATTGTTTAGGACATGCTGTAGCAGATCATAAGGGAATGAACAGCCATCTATCTAGCAAAAAGTTTAGATCCCAAATTAGGTCCATGTTTTCCAGAACAGCAGATATCCAGGGTGGGCTTACATTTTGTCTTCTGCGATGGCATTATATGGCAAGCTGTGATGTGTCCACCACAGAGGAGGATAAATTTTAACTCCAGAGACATTTTAGGTGACACATTACTAAGGTAATTATTTTTCAATTTGGGCCTTGAATTTTCTTTTTTTATATTTATTTTCATTTTTTTTTAAAGATTTATTTATGCAAGAAAATGGAGTATAGGCCAGAGGTGTGGGGTGAGAGGTTTCACTAGAGACAGATTGGGGAACAGAACAGGCAGATTGACTGAAATACATGACTTAGGGGAGCAGCAGGTGAGTCAGGAGAGGTCTGCTGCGCAATGTAGCTCCCTGGCCAAGGATGGAATTCATTCTGCAGTGGCTGTGGATAGCTTCCTAGGTTGTGTCTTCACCCCTTGCGCCCCAGGCAAGCTCTGGCCTTTAATTTTCAAAGCTTGATTTTACAGTACTATCTAAAAGTAAGCTCTAGAATTAAAACAAAATACAAAGAAAAAATAGAGAATAATGGGGGAAATAAAGATATGTGAAGAAAAGGAATGGGCTTACCGAAAAGAAATGACAACATTAGATCTTTTGTCTTCTGATTTTGCATTGCCACATTCTGATGGACATAGAGACAGTTCAAAACTGGTTTCTATTTAAATCGTGCAATAGTTCCCTTAAAACACCATTTTGAAAAGGCAGCAGAGATGGCTAACAAGGTCACTTTTTCCAGGAGAGAAAAGAAAGAGTATAGATTGTTGTTAAATAATTGTAACATATTTGCCTTGTTATTACTCCCCCTCCCACCTCCTAGTGGTAGGAAGTCTTTGGTTTGATCACATCAGAGGCTGGTATGAGCACAGACATGATTTCAATATTCTCTTCATGATGTATGAGGAGATGAAGAAGGTAAGAGGAGAAGGTTTGTTTCTATACAGTATTTCTTTGAAACCCTTTCTTATCTTGCTTTCAATTACCCACATTCTCCTATTCACTTTCATACCTAATCAAAACTTCATTTTGGGTTTCTCATTTATTGCCCATCCCCTAATCATTGTTTTTCCATAGGACTCTCTTGTCATTGTACAGTCATGTTTTGTGATTCATCCTTAAACAACCATCTGGAGCAATGAAGACAAACTCAAATGTCTAAGATGGCTGTAGCTTATAAGAAAAGGGATGACATGGAGCTTGGTGACACGGCCACCAGTATAAGAAAATTGTGTGCTCTGTGAACCCAATTCTTCCTGAGTATTAAAGAGAGTCTTGAACACAGATTTCAGGTGAAATCACATGATGATTTCATGTTCACATCCAGTCAAAAGTGTGTTAGCAAACTGTATATAGCAAATATTTAGACTTCACTGTTGTACTCTCTCAGATTGATATGTTGATTTGCAGTACATAATTTACTCATGAAAAATTTTGAAAACCTCATATGATTGGGACTAATCATGAGAAAAAAGTCATTGAATCCCATACCATAGAACTTAAATCACACAGGGAAGATAGGTATTATAAGCAAATCTATATAACTAGTAACTATTTTAATTGTGTAAAGGAAAACTGCAACTATGATATCTAGATAGATAGAATAAGAGGATCTGCTCTGTCAAAAGTGATAGGCAACTTTTCTGAAAAAATGCTACATGAAAACTGCCAAATAATATATATGAGTAAACAAAAGTAAATGAGGTGAAAGCAAATTGTAAGTCAAGGAAAGAATGCAAATCCCTCTAACAGTGAAGGGCATCACACCTTAGGAAAGCTAAGGGCAAATGTTAAAGAGCATGGTAGAAGTGAGGAAAGATTAAGATTGAAATGAGCCACACTGTGCAAGTCTGCAGATTATGTTAATATAGAGATTTTTGGGCCTCCCCAGGTGGTTCAAGGGGTTAAGCACAGCTCTGTGAAGCTGTCCCCAGCCTCTGTAGCATGAGTTGGATCCTGGCCAGCCAGGGAACTACCAACATGGCTCAGCAGACCTCTCCTGTCTTGCCCACTGCTCTCCTCAGCAGTGTATTTCAGTTAGTCTGACTGTTCTGTTCCCCATTCTGGTGAATCCTCTCACGCCCTGCATCTCTGGCCTGAACCCTCGTTCTTGTATGCATAAATATATCTTTAAAAAATAGAAATTTCCTTAATTATAAGCATTTTATGAGTTATGAGGAGAGCAATGTGACAGAAGTAGTCCTTTGAGAATATCATTGCCTTTAGTGAGTTCAAAAGTTAATATGGCAAGGCAGAGGCAGACCAGCGAAAATCACGGTTTTTGAACAAGGACGGTGTCATTGGGTTTGCAAGAATACAAGGTTTTGATATGTTTATGAGGCAAAAAGGAAGGGGATTACATATCAGAAAAATGAAAAAGAGAGAGGTATCAGGATGATTTCTGTGTTTCTCTTCATATACCTCTCCATAAAATGGTATCTTTCATGACGGTGTTTAGGGAACACTGAAACAGAGTGAGACAATAATGAGATAGGTTTTGATATATGGAGTTTAACATGTTTAGAAGCATCCAATTGAAGATATGTGGAAATGTATGCTATATATGTATATGTATATATACACATGTGTGTACATATGCATGTGTATATGTATATACATATGTATATAGCATACATGTTTGGAGTTCATTAAATATATACATATACACACATGTATATATGTAAACATATGCATATGTATATGTATATAAATAATTTCAATTTGGGTATTCTCTTTATATACAGTATAACTGAAACTTTGTCCATTAAATCTACTGACAGTATCTAGCATAGTAAGCCAAACTGGAGTGGATTAGGGAAAAAATGCAATACAAATACAGTAGTGATGATTTGGAGGGGAGAGCAAGGTTTAATACTGGGAAAGGCATGTGTAGGGCTTCAGAGTACCGGCAATGTTCACTTTGATGTCTATGTTGACATCATGAGTGTTCATTCACTTCATAATTGAATATACTGCATACTTGTTTCATGCCTTTTCTGCATGTGTGTTAATTTGAAAATATCTTAGGAATTTTCTTAAAGATTATTTATTTATGCATACAAGAGCTGGGGTACAGGCCAGAGGTTGTGGTGTGAAGGACTCACTAGAGACAGAGTGGGGAACAGAACAGGCAGATCGACTGAAGTACACTGCTGAGGCGGGCAGCGGGCGAGACAGGAGAGGTCTGCTGAGCCATGTGGGTAGCTCCTTGCCAGCCTGGGATTGAACTTGTGCTGAGAGGCTAGGGATAGCTTCACGGTGCTGTGCTCAACCCCTTGCACCACCAGGGGGTCCCTATACTCTATATCATTTCTCTTAATATCTAATAGCTTTTGAGTATATGTGTTCGTGTTCTTAAATATAATGAGTGTATGATCACTACTCAATGTCAAATTATTTCTAGAATTAATTTGATACTGGGGTCATGATTTTACTTCCCAATCACAAACTCTTCAACGGGCTAGTATCACCTACAGGGTAAGTACTAACATAGTTGGCAAGCCAGACAAAGCCCTTTTGTATTCAACCTGCCTCTCCAGGTGTTTTCTTTGTGACTCTCAAGTACCAGGCACACTGACTTCCAGTTTTCATTGACTATGGACAGCATTTCAAGTTACTGTTGTTTGGAATTTAACCCTGAGGAGGGAATTCTTATGTTTTCTCAGAAACATTTCTTACATTCCTTCTGAATAGGAAGAAATCATTTTTCTTCTTGAAAATTGCTCTCACTGCTACAAGATACTATTAATGTCCCTTTTCTTTGAGCTCTCATTGTACCTAGTGAGTTTGTCTCCTTTTCAACACCTCCATGCATTTATTGTGCTAAAATATCATAACAAAATTGTTTTTTTTTAACAACTTTGGAATACTGTTTTGTGGCACCAACAATATTCATACTGATGTGCATCCATACCCATCCATCTGCAGAAATTGTTTCATGTTGCAAAGCAGTAACTTTGTACCCCCCAAAATTAACTCCTTCCAGCTGCTGGCAGCCACCATTCTATTTCCTGTTGCTATGACGATGACTATGCAGAGGCTCATATCAGTGTAATGATGATTTTTTCCATTTACACTGACATACTTTAAGTTACATTTTGTTGTCAAGATTCATCCATGCTGTAGCATATGTGAAAATTTCCACCCTCTGAAGGACTGAGTGCTGCTCTATAGCATCTAAATATCACATTTTACTGAACCACTCATGTGTGGATAGGCCACATAGATGGCTTCCATTTCGCAAATCACAAACATTCCTGCTATGAAGGTGAGTGTACAAACACCATTTTGAATCCTTCTTTTCAATTCTTGAAAAGAATTCTTCAATTCTAATATCCACAATAGGATTTGAAATTCATATAGTAATAATATTTTTTTTTTTTTTTTGAGGAGTCCTAAACTAGTACAGGAGTTTCTATAGAGACTGCGCTATCTTACATTCTCAGTGATAGTGCAAAATGGTTTCTGTTTTCCTACAACTTCTTCAATTTTTGTATTTTCTGCTTTTTGTTTGACTCCTTTACAAAGCATATTAGAGCATAAAAATACAGACTTGCAAAGGACAGAGCCTTCATGCCCTCTCCAGTGTTAGTAGTGCCAGGCAATAGTCAGTACTTTATTCTAAAATAGGCTTACCATCTGATATTTCATCTAACTATAAGCCACTGTGGGTTTCCTGAGGAATTTTAGTAGGTTGAGTCAAAATATCATGTTGGTACATTTGGTGAATTAAATGCTTTTTCAACTTAAAATTTTTCAATTATTAGGGTTTCTCATCATGACCTCTTTGTTAAGTCAACAGAGACTTATACATGTTTTGTTCT